AGGGTGGAGGGACAGCGCAGGAGGGGAAGGCCCTCTATGAGGTGGATTGATTCAGTGACTGGGGTAATCGGGATGAGTTTGTCGGAGACAATGAGACATGCACAGGACAGAACAGAGTTTAGGGCTGCTGTACATAGGGTCGCTATGAGTTGCAAGCGACTCAACGGCACATAACAACAACAACAACAACTATGGGCTTTGATTGGAAGCAGGAGTGGCATCGACTTCCTAAACAACATACCTCTGAAAATCTGAACTTTGATAACTGACAATAGTTATAGAAAGACTTCAGGCCTTTTGTTTATAGGGTCACTATGAGTTGTGTTCGACTCGACGGCAATCAACAACATGGACTATGTTGGCGATAGCGATAATTGTCACATAACTGACCAAAGCCTCAGTAGACTTCAAACAGGCAGCAATGTGTAGTCCTCACAGGCTCACTGGATGTGGCCCCCCAGACCCACTCTGGATCCCCCCTCTCAGCCACAGTCAGAAGCTCCTGGCCCCAGCCTGATGTCAGCAGAGGACCACTCAGACTCACCGTCGGCCACGGCAGACACCTCGTCCTGCAGCGCTAGGATCAGCTTAGCCTCGCGGGTCAGGTACTGGCAGCGTCGCTCCTCGTGCTGAAGCACCACAGCTATCCGCCGGGACAGAGTGTGCAGGCAGCTGATGACTGATGGGTCTGCGTTGGCCTGTGGGGGTGCATGATTGAGCACGCTCACTCTCGTGTCAGGGAGCACAGGGAGGCAGGTAGTACACTCATGGGTAGAGCTGAGCTCTACAAGAGCCCATGCAGCAGAACCTCACTTTCTCCCCAGTGGCCATGAGGGGCACTTTTCTGCATTGCCAGAGATGGTCCTCAGACATGATGGCAGGACCTGGCCCCTGGAGTCCAATGGCATTGAGGGAAGGTAGTGGGACTGGCTATACCTAATCCTATTGTGTAATTCACTGCCAGGACAGTGGTGCAGCACTTCATGGGATCCAGAGGGAATGCCACAGGGCAGCGTCACTGTGCTAGGATACATGGGAAGGCATGGGAAGACTTCCACTGGGGCCCTGGACAGGTTGTCCAGAGAAGTGCTGAGGGCACAGACCTGTCCACAACCCCACAATGTCATTCTGGGTCCCAGAATCCTCGTTTGATAAAAAGGAATGGCTACTGTAAGGTGGAATCTGGTTAAATGTGTACAGTGCTCAGAGCAGTAATGTCAGGCTATGTCTGGACGTGCTCTGGCCAAACAGTGGCTATGCTGTGACTGTCCCTAGCTATGCTATAGCTGTCTTACAGCTGTGTCATGGCCAAGCCTGGACGTGCTGTGACCTTGCCTGGCTTTGCCTGGCTGTGCTGTGGCCATACCTGGCCATACTGCTGTGACCCCACTGACCATACTATAGCCATGTGTAGCAGTGCAGTCACACTTGGTCATGCTGGTCTACAAGATGTGGAATTGAACCAACAGGCCACATCCAGCAGGACACACTGTTCCAGCTGACCCCTGGAACACTTGCCCCTTGAGGCTGGGACACAAGAATGACAGGCTGAGGCTCACGTCCCTGTCCCACGAGCTGAGTGCTTGGAGGAAGTATGTGGATTCTGCCCTTAGCCTCTGAGGACTATCAGGGGCTGGGCAGGTCTGGGAAGGTGCTGCCGATACAGATAGTGGGCAACCATGACTTAGCGTTTCAGAAGTCAACAGGACTGATGAATCATTCTTTGGGGGTGGGGGGTGGAGGAGGCAGAGGACGGGTGGTTTCACTGATTGGGGCCTTGGGTGCTGCCTCCTCTGCTTATCCAGCGAGCAGGCCTGGCCTTAACCTGAGCTCAGCCCACACATCTCCCACCTTGACAGCATCCCACTTGCTAGCTGTGAAGGGGATGAGTGTGCTCCTACCCTAGGCAATGGCCTCACAGCTGCATGCAGGAGGTCCCCTCAGCAGCCTCTCTACTAAAGGTCATGCATTGGGGGTCTGGCTGAGCTAGGTGCATACAATCATCTCAAGACAAAATATGCAGGAGAGAGATCCTGGGTAGAAAAGCTCTCCCCAGAGAACAGGGTAGAAGGTCCCGGTCAACCAGAAGAGCAGGTACCACCACCTGCTTGTGCATAAACACAGTGAGTGCCCAAGGACAGCAGCCCTTTGAGTCTGGGATCACAAGCCTCACCAGACACCACAGAGCAGGGAGCTGCCAACATCCCTCAGGCAGAGAGTAGGTCTGAGTGGATGAGGCTGCTCAAGGCTGGCTGGGAGGACAGCCCCACGCTGGGTGGACTGGGCCCACTGCAGTCAGACGGGCTGAGGCGAAGTGTTTTGGGAGCTGGGAGCTAATAGCTTATGCCTGTGTCAAATGTGAATTGGGCAGTGACACAAAAAAAGTCCTTATTTCACAGCTCCTAGGTCTGCAGGAGGGAGCTCTGGTGGCCAAATGGTAAGGAGCTGCATTGCCAATCCAAAGGCACATGGTTTGAATCCACCAGCTGCTCTGTGTGAGAAAGACGGGTAATCTCCTCCCTTGCAAATAACTGCCTCTGAAAACCCACAATAGGGTCAGCTATGAGTTGGTTCTTACTTGACAGTACGTAACAAGGTCTGAAGGAGTTGGGTGGACACAGGTCTGGGTTTGCCTGAGCAGTAACAGGTGAGAAAGGGCCTTGGGGACCGTGCACTCCACAGGGGTATACACACTTTATGAATATTGAGAAGGCCGAACCATCTCATCTTCCCTGAGATGACTGGTATCATTATGCGTGTCCTACCCCGCCAGGCACAGGCTATCCTGGTGAAGTGACTGGTCTAAGGGTCCATCCTTCTCTGCCTCCCCCACCCCCCACAGCCTCTGCATCAACCACTCACCCTCAGTGCGAACACCACATTAAAAAGGATCATGGTGGGTGTCTCTCTCTTTGGCGATGGGTCTGTTTTGGACACCTGTAAGAGACATAATTCCACACATTAAAGCCACGGCTTCCAAGAGGAGCTATTTAGAGGTTTGTACTCAAGGCCCAGGGAAGTATCTGAAGCTGGAGCAGAGGAAAGAGAGCCCCTGAGAGCCAGGGCTGCACGCACAGGCAAAGTCAGGCATCCGTTATGGCCAGTGCAAGGCCCCAGGGAGATGTGACTAGCCCCAGAGGGGCTGAAATGGATGGAGTGCTCTCTGTTCATCCCCACTGTCCTGTGTCCACCTGTGTCCTCAACACCCGGAGACGGTGGTGGCAGTCAGCCTCTGAGAACCAGCCTTTCTCTTGGCCTGCTCCAGCCTCTCCTGTCTTTTCCATGAGCTCACACCTGTGTCACCACCAGACAGCACTGGCACTCTAGGGCCCAGAGGGGGCCAAAGGCCACTCCTGCAGCTATAGGCAGGCAGCCAATTTCTCCCCTTTCCCCTCAGGAGACAAGCCATATCTGTGAGGGTTGCAGAGGCTGGAACAGGACCTCCCTCACAGGGTCACAAAGAACAGGAGCGAGAGCTAGATCCAGTGCCTCACAGATGTCTCTGCATTTCTAACTCCCTCAATAGTGGGAGGCACAAGCTACACAATTCTTGGATTTTGCAAATGGAGCAAAACAATTTCACACGGAAAACCACTGCTGGGTCCTGTAACCTAGACTCTGGTGACAACGGGTAAATGTCCTCTGGGGCACACAGAGGAGTCTGGTCTGCACATCGCATAGACACTGCAGGGTGTGGCAGACAGGCCTCACTCCCTCTCTTAGCTGCTCTGGAAGCAGAGGTTAAAAACTGCCCTTTAGGAAGGTCAGTCAGTAGAGAATGGGAATATGAACAGCTACAAATGCTTAGGGCAGAAACTGCAGCACCCAGAAGCGAGGCGCCCTTTCTCCTTCTCCCTGTACCCCCAGAGTCTGAAAGGATTCACAGCATAAGGCTATAGCTACAAAGACCAGTCCCCGGAGCTGTCCCTGCCCAGAGAGAACTACACCTGCCTGGATGGGTCGTACCTGCCCCAGAGCGTGCTGCAGAAGTGTCGGATGCCCAACAAAACGTACGTTGTCAATCTTCAGTTCAAACTTCTGGCCACACATTTCAGACTTGGTTGCCAAAATAGTTGCTAGAATAACATCTGAAAATCTTAAAATTGGGGAGGAAGGTTGAGAGGAAGGTTAATACACAAGTGGCTACCCATGCCCATGCCCAGAAGGCTTCAATAAAGGGCTGCTGTGTCCCCTGCAGATCAGAAGATCTATCAGTCATCCCTGAGCCGATTCCCGCGATCAGGGTCAAATTACCAGAATTACAATGGGAAGCGCAAGCAGAAGGGCCACATGCGGGCATCCTTAAGTGCTCTAGGGGTTCAAGAGGGAAACAAGTGGGGGGCTGGATCAAGACCTGGCCTTCTCTTGGGATAAGATGGGGCCTCACTCAGCATGGGGCATGTTCTGAGGGCAGCCTCACAACCTGGCCTCTTTAGACCTTTCCTCAAGGCCAATGCTCAGACTTTCTAATTTCTGTGAAGAGGGCAACTGTTAAAGGTGCACAACCTCCAGACTCACCACTGTCATAGCTATCTTTAAATGAATTGGCAGCACATGATAAATGAAGAAGAGATTGAGGTCGTTGACGATTTCAGCTTGCTCAGATCCACAATCAATACTCTGGCACTAGCAGTCAACAAATCAAAAGACAAACTGCTCTGGGGAAAGCTGCTTTCAGGGGCCTCTCCAAAGTGCTAAAGAGCAATGATGTCAGTCTAGAGACTAAGGTGTACCTGATTCAGGCCATGGTCTTCACAATTACTTGCTATGCATCAGACAACAGGACAATGACCAGAGTTAACAGAAGAATGGATGCCTTAGGGAGCTCTGGTGGCCTAGTGGCAAGAAGCTGCACTGCAATCCCAGAGGTGTGTGGTTCTAATCCACCAGATGCTCTGCTGGAGAAGGAGGAACAGTTTCCTCCTGTACCAGTCAGATCTGATTTGACGGTGCACACACAAAATAATAATAAAATAAAATTTTTTTAAAAAAATGATGCCTTTGGCAAGCTCTGGTGGCCTAGTGGCAAGAAGGTGTACTGCAATCCCAGAAGTGCAAGGTTCAAATCCACCAGATGTTCTGCTGGAGAAGGAGAAACAGTCTCCTCCTGTACCAGTCAGATCTTATTTGACGGTACACACACACACACTAATAAAAAAAATATAAAATTTTTAAAAAAAAATTAAAAAAAAAAAGAGCCTAGGGGGAGTGGGCAGGCAGCCTCAGCCAGCCCTGCCCACACTGCCAGGCCCTGCGAACACCCCAGGAAGCCCTGTTTGTCACTCAGATCATGTTCACCCAGGGAGTCGCATACTCCCTCATGGTGGTCCCAGTTTGCCTCAGGAAGTCTCCAGGGTGGAGAGCTCACCAGCCCAGGCCCAGCCTGCCCACCCGCCGCAGGGAGTCATGGCCTCCAGTGGGGGAGGGCCCTACCTGGCGAACATGCGCAGGTCCTCAGGGTTCTGGGCAGCGGGCACGCTGAGGATGGCCTCACGCTCGTGCTCAGACAGGCTGGCCAGCAGGTTCTCCGTCATCCTCCTGTTGAGAGGTGAGTCCCCACCAGGGAGCAGCTCTGCACTCGAGTTGTCCATACTGGGGCTGGTGAGGGTCATGTCGTCGCTGCTGGCTGCAGGGTACAGGCCAGAGAGCTCTCGGTCCCTAGCTTGAGAATGCTACAGCCCCTCAAAGCCCCGTCAGTGCCCTGAGTGGGCCTGAACCTTGCCTCTGAAATGTACTGCTGCCCCTCTGGGGATAGGTGAGGGTATGTGCATGTGTGACACAGGAGTGTGGACATGCGTGTGTGTGAGTGAACACAAGTGTGAATACATGTGCATGCGTGGGTACACCTGAGTGCACAAGAGTGAACACACATTATACACACAAGTATGAGCGTGCACACGCGCGCGCGTGCCCACGTGATTATGACCATGCATGTGTGCATACACAGGTATCAGCACCTGTGCCTGGCTGCACACGTGTGCATACGTGCCGCCACAAGCCCGTGCCCAGCGTCACCCACCCCTTGCCAGACAAATGCCCAGGGAACCTCTCTCTCACTTGGGGAGCCAAAGCTGAGGGCATTGGGTGTGCTGAGGCTGCGGCCCCCAACGCGAGCAGGCAGCGGAGGGTCGTCCTCGCGGGGCCCAGCCTCCTCCTCTCGGGGTGCGGCCATCAGGCAGACGTAGGTGTGCAGCTGGACAAGGAGGCGGCGCTGCAGCATCCACACCACCATCTGGATGAGCTGCGTCTGTGGGGGGTGAGGGCGCGCCCACACGCCTAGTCATGCTGACTGCGGGCAGCACAGAGCAGCCCCCAGCAGTCTGTTCCAGGGCTTTCACTTAGAACAGGAGCCTTGGCTGCCACCAGCTCAGCAAGGCAAACTCTCCTTTCAGAGGGAGGGAGAGGAAAAGTGAGAAGGCACCCATCCAGCACAGATCACCCTGGCTACTCCCAATCTTCCTCTCAGCTGACCTCCAACTCCTGCTCTATAAACTACCCCTAGCCCACAGGGACCCCCTCTTACCAGCATAAAAGCCTGCCCCAGTGGGTGCCAGGAGTGGACTGGGGACCCCTGGGGTTGGTGCTGACCTCCCCAAATGACAGAGCCCCCTTGCTAGAGTGAAAGCACACCCCCCCCCCCATGTGGATGGAGCTGTGCAGCATGAGATCCACTTTCAAATTGTCCCTGGAAGCCAAGGGAACTGGACTGACCCCAGGAGAGGCCCGGAACCAGATGACTGGAGGACAGCCAATCCCACGGCCTCTGAGTGCACTTGACTCCTGACATGCCTATAAGATACAGCAGGACTGCCTATATAGTGTCTAAGCCAAATGCTTCACAGGAGCTGACCTCTTTCACCTGAGGAGTGGCCAGTGGCTTTGTAAAGTACCTAAATCAAAATAAAACTAGGAAGACAAAAGGGTTCTTGAAGCACGCAGTGGGATCACCGCAGGGTGCAGGGAGGCAGGGTGGCTGCACCCTGGTCTTGTAAAGGGCATAGCCTGAAAGACACACTGAAACTGCCTGCAGACTGAAAGCTTCTGCAGAAAGAGCTGCCACTTTCCATCCAGGAGGGGCAAGGCCAAGCCACGCAGGACTTCTCTCAGGCAGTCTGATTCAGCCTGGAAACTGAGCCAAGAAAGGCCTGGTTTGCAACCCTGTCACATCAGCGTCCCGGCTGAGACCCCCTTGCTCAGTGGAGGGGGGACAAGGCCTGGCTGATCTGACCCTTACTAACAAGCACTTTACTTCTGAGAATACCAATTGCCTGCCCGCAACACCTGCCCCATGCATGGCTCTGAGAAGGCTGCACCTCAAGCCTGAGGCCTCCAGGGGGGTCTCCCTGGCTACACAGCACCCAAGCCCTGGACAAGGTCCCAGGCCTGTCCTACCCAGGAGGTCCTCTTGGTGCCAAGTGGATTTGGGGGCCAGCTGCCCTGACAATCAGACTTTCCAATCTGCAACCACCAGGCCCAGGTTCCAGACACAAAGACAGCTTTCAATCCTTGGTCTGTGGAGACCCCAGGAGCCTAGCACAGCTCTGTCCTCTGCCAAGCTGGGCCACCAAGTCTGTCCTGTGAGCTCCACCGCTGTGGAGTCACCCTGGTGACTCCCCAGGAAGTGGACAGGGCAGCGCTATCACTCTGTGTGGTGGCAGGAAATCATGGAAGGTCAGCCCAGAAACAAAGGTCATAGTGCTGAGGGTCCCCAGGGTCAGGACCAACAGTGGGCACAGTGGCTGCCTGCCCACATCTGGGCCCTCAGGAGCCCTGCAACTCACCTCTGGCACAGGGGGAGCCAGGGGGCTCCTGAATTCTGATAAGGAGACAGGCAAGGAGAACTTGGCCAGAACAGACGGCAGGTCATGCGACGGGAACTGTCTGGAGAACTGCTCAGCCAGTGGGGAGTACCTGGGCAGTGGATGAGGAGGGCTCAGCTGAGACCCCACACGGCACCATACTTCATGGTGAGCTTTCTACAGAACCGTGTTTACACGGCTGAGGTCGGACACAGTAAGGAGTCATAGAGCCGAGGGGGGACACTGCACTCCGCTGCGACAAGGCCCTGGCAGAGCTCGGAGCCCCATCCTGCTCCTGTGCCCACCACTCACCTCATATGCAAAGCAGTCACAGGAGACGGAGCAGGAACCATGGAAGCCCTGGCCCCTCAGTGTGCTCCTGTGCCCGGGGCCCCTCAGCTCTCTTGCCCTGATTCATGCCCTCCACGGCCCCTCAAGTCCACTCCTACCCCCAGGATCCACAGCCCCTCTGGCCTTCTGCCCACCCCTGCACCTGTAGCTCCACACCAACCAAAGCCCCTCTGCCCTTTTGTGCACTCACAGCCCTAGAGCCCCTACGTCCACCCTTGTGCCCATGGCTCCTCAAGGCCCCAGTGGACACAGCCACATGCCTCCAAGGCCCCTCCATCTACCCCAGGGCCCGTGACCCGGCAAGACGGGGCACTCACAAGCACACGCTGGCGCTGGGCGACAGCATGTAGATGTTATTCTCACACAGCGGGTAGACAATGATGGCCTTGCCCCAGTACACCAGGTGGGCTGCGAGCTGGAACACCTGTGGGGGTGTGCAGGGGGCAGTTGGAAGGGGGTCCCACATGGTCACCTGACTCCTCAGCCAGTCTCACCACACCTGGATTGAAATTCACTCTGGCCCTTCACCCTGGAACACGGGCATCCACCAGGACCCCACATGGGGAGGGGATCTCCGTGTCTGAGAAGCCCCTGCAGATGATCAGAGCCAATTGATAGTGTCAACAGGGGCACTGACCTGCCCACCCCTAGTTTCCCCTATGGCTCAGAGTTTACCTGGGCTGAGTGGGACCACCTGCATGGTCTGTGCCAGAGTCCCCCAACATCTCAAGAGTTCTCACAGGGCACAAATGAACCCCTATCCTATAGCCACCAGGGCCAGAGTCCAGGCCTCTGTGCTGGCAATACCAGCAACAAATACAGATGGAAGCTACAGGAAGTGAAGACTGTGAGAGGCTGACAGGAAGTGAGAGACATCAAAGCTCTAGTGACCATGGCTCCCACAGCAATGAGGCTCCCACAGCAGGGCACAGGGATTCCACAACAAAGTCCCCACAGAGCAGCTGTTCCGTCCACAGCTGAAATGTTAACTGCTGGAGTGTCCCAAGGCGAGTCCAACACAGGCCTTGCCTGTCACCACATCCCCATACGTCACAACCTGAGAATGCATGGTAGATGCTGGGGAATGGGCTAAGGTGTGGACAGAGGAGGGGGAGTTGTACGAACAACACCCACCTCTTGTCATGTTACAGTGACAGTGACTCTGAGGGCTGAACTGTCACCCATGGTTTCTGAGGCAGGGATCTTTATAGAGCAGAGCAGACTGCCTTGTCTTTCTCTCTGGGAGTGACTAGAAATGACGGTATTTCAGCCAGTGGTCAAGTGCTTTAACCATAGTGCCCCTAGGCTTTGCTGGAGAAACTTTATCGTTTTCCTGCTGTGAAAGGACCAAGGTGCTGGGGCTCTCACATCTTAGAGAGGTGGCTCAGCAAGGATAGCCAAGGGAGGCAGAGGGCCCAGCCCTCTAGGGCTGCCCTTCCCCAACCTGCCTGGGCTCAAGATGCCACGCTGGCAGTGACCTGGGTCTCAGGGCTGCAGCTCTGCTGCCCCCTCGTGGCCATGTGGTGTGCACTGGCCCCGACATTCCTGTCACTGAATCCCATGAACTAGGGCCCATTACCCAGTCAGCCACCTCTGTCACCAAAGCTCGGAACCAAGAGCTTTGAATGCAAGGTCAGTGGCCTGTCACTGGAACTGTCCCCTTAGCAGGCCCTGTCCATCGCCTCTCATTCCAGTACTTTCTGTCACCCCAGATGCTCTAGCATCTGATCACAGACATGGTGCAGTGGTCAAGATGATGAGGTAGAGGTCTGAGCTTATAGACTTCTGCCCCATAAAGTGAGGCCACATGGTATGAGGCCCTATGACCACTCCTACCTTGGAGTGCTCCTGCTGACATGTGCCCCAGCCCAGCGGGGTCCCTCCCTCGGTCCTTGGTCAGCACCACCCGGCACAGATCAGACCAGCCCTCCAGTCCTGCTCCTGACCTGTCTAACCTGAACAGAACCTAAGCCCAAGTAACAACTGTCCGCTGTGGGAGGCCTGGTGATACCTGCAGCAATGCCAGGTCGGCGTCCTGAGCCAGCTGCTGCAGGTTTTTCACGGCCGTGGTGGTCTTGATCACACGCACCAGAGCCGGGGAGCAGTCGACAGGCAGCTCAGCCAGCAGGGACTTCTCATCACTGAGCAGTAGCAGGGCGTGGTAGGGGCTGCAGGCAGGGAGCAGAGGAATGGGACTGTGACTGGGCCCATGGGGGAGACGGTCCAAAGGATGGGAAGGGGATACATCCTTGTGATTGGGACCATGGGGAAGATGGGTCTAGGGGACAGGAAAGGAATATGGCAGTTTCACCAGGCCACAAGGGAGACAAATCTGGGGGATAGGAAGGGGACACTTACCGGATGGCCTTGAGACTCTTCTCAATAGCCTCAGGTGGGATGAGAGTAGTGGCCACATAGTGGATCTTGTGGGGCAGGCAGAAACTCACCTCCAGCCAGTTGTTGATGTGCAGCTGCACCACACCTGAGGAGCAGAGGCTGTGGGGACATGGCACACTGTGGGCACAGCGACACAACAGGGAGACTGTAGGGCACAGCCCCATACCTGAGGACCAGAGGCTGGGACCATGGCACACTGTGGGCACCACGCCACAACAGGTAGAGACTGTAAAGACATGGCCCCACACTCGGGGGGCTGGAGGCTGTGGGAACCTGATGCCACCACACTCAGGATGGGGACTGTGGGGACACGGTGCCACTCTCAGGAAGCAGAGGTTGTGGGGACATGGAACCACATTTGGGGGGTGGAGGCTGTGGGACACTGCGCACTGTGGGGGGGGGTGCAGAGGCTGTCGGACACCACATACTGTGAGTGCGGCGCCACACTCAGGGACAGAAGATTTCCTTTGAAGGTTCACTACCCTCCAAACCTGAAACAAAACTCATTCCTGTGGCTCAACTTGCAGCCTAGCAACAGACTGGCCTACAAGGTGACCAGGAAGGGCAGAAAGGGGCTTACTCCTTTGAATGACCAACCACAGAAGATGAATAGGCAGCATTTGCCCAGGGAGAAAGCTCAGGTCAGAAGGGGTAGGATGGCAGGATGAATGGAAAGGAGAACCACAGAAAGATGTGACAAGAGTGTGGTTACATTGTAGGGGCTGTGTGGTTCAATGAAAAAAAGATGTGCTTTGTAAACTGTACTCAAATCACAACAAAACAAAAGAGGTCTATGTACGCAACCAGGCAGGCAAATGGGCAGGTGGGCATATGGCTGGGGAGACCCCTGTGTCCCCTAGGGGGCGCTCTGCCCCAGCTGGGAGTCACAAATTTTCCCAAGTCATTTATTTGCCCCAAAGATGAAAGAAGTCACAGTTTTCTCTTTTAAGAAAAAAGTTAAACTAATAAAATTTAATAATAATAATAAAAAAAGAAAGTTGTTCTGCCCCTCCCCTTCTCAGTTTCAAGCTAACCTGCAGTCTAATTCTAGATGAGGCATGTGGACCATCACTCAGAATAAAGCCACTCTCTCAGTGAGGGATTCTGAGACAAGCACCAGGAGGCACAGGGACCCTTAGGATCCCTGAAGGGCTCAGCTGCCTGGGTGAAAGGGGACTGTAACTGGAGCTATCATGCAGCTGGGCAGTGACAAGACACGTCCACACCAAGAAGACAATGAAATACTGTCAAAGATGGGTGGAAAACCGTAAGACAAAAGACAGATGTCTCCCTTGCAAAGACCTACACATCCGCATAGACAGGTAGACAGGTCTGGAGGGCAGCCCGTAAGACCACAAATACAAGTTAGAAGCCATCTCAGTTGACCAGGACCGAGGCTAAGCTGAACCACCCATGGTGTCTTTTCCCAAAGCTGCTGCTCCAAGATACTCAAACCCCTAAGTCCCTCAATTTCAGCTTTCCTGACAGACCTTAGCCCCATGTCATCTCCCATGTGCCACTTTCACATCCTCACACTGAAGAGTAAGTTGGGCTAGACATGCTCGGTCCAGTTCTGCACTTACACATGACAAAGGTGTTGGCACTGAGGATGGCAGTGGGCTGCTCACACAAGAGCCTGGCCTTACAGAAGACCACCACACGGGGCGGCCCACTGTGTCACCTGCCGCAGGCGTGGAGGCCCACCACACAGGGCGGTCCACAGTGTCATTTATAGCTGTGGAGGACCACCACACGGGGAGGCCCACCATGTCACTTATAGCTGTGGAGGACCACCACACCAGGCAACTTGTCATCTTACCTATTGTGGGTTTGGAGGACCACCACACAGCACAGCCCACCATGTCACTCGTAGGTATGGAGGACTGCCACACAGCGCAGCCCACTTGTCTCATCTACTGTACACGTGGAGGACCACCCCTTCATGCGGCCTGCCACGTCACCTGTTGTAGGTACGGAGGACCACCACTTGGCACAGCCCACTGCCTCACCTGTCGTATGCTTCCTTAAGGTCCCTGGCCAGCTTGCACTTGGGCAGGATGTGATGGAACGGGGACTGATGAGGACCTTCATTTGCTGCGAGAACCACAGAGAGATTTACAGTCTTCGACTCAAGAAAGCTTTCTAGGCCAGGGCAGGAAATACTGGAAAAGAACTGCGACTTCAAATCAGCCATCAGGCCATTCTCCCTGATTCGTCATAACAGCTTTGCATCTAGGTGAATCAAAACCAGAAGGGAGCTGATGTGTTTGACATCTCTGGAACATGCAGACTACACGTCACTGGCCCCCACCCTCAGCAGGACTCCCAACAACTTCTGCAGCTGCCAGGCCCACATCCTCTCTGCTGTGGATTTCTCATTCCCCTCCCGACATAAATGTACACTATTGCTGAGTACCGTCAAGTGTGAACCAACTCATAGCTGGCCCACCAGCGCGTTTTCAGAGGCAGTTAAAACGCCCAGGAGGAAACTGCATGCCTTTCTCCCACAGAGCAGCTAGTGGAGTAGAACTGCATGCTTTTGGGATTGCAGCACAGCTTCTTAGCATTAGGACACCAGAGTTTCCTTGAATTTACATTAGACAATCTAGTTTCATGACCAAAAGTCACTTAGTGCATCCTAAACAGAGTGAGGATAGGACTAAGGAACAAAATTTTTAAAAACTTTTATACAAAACGTCCAGGTTCATTGTTCCAATAGAGACTGTTAGAACCCCTGACTCTGCTAAGGCCCTTAGTCATCCTTCCCCCAAAAGAAAACTTTCATCCAAACAGAAATGGGTCTGTAAGGTGAGTAACAGCACCAGAGAAACACTCTGGAATGGCCAACCACTTAAGACCTGCCCGATGGCACAGCCCAGATGCAGGAAAGAATATCCATTAAAGATGGATAGAAACAAGAATCATAGGAAAGAAACTGAAAGAGTGTCATTACATTGTGGAAATGGTAATTAATACCTTAAAATAAAATGTGCATGAATGGTTGAATTAGTGAATGGGAAATTGATTTAACTTTCAGATTTTCATTCAAATCATAACAAGTATTTTAATTACCTTTTCCATGACTCTCTAACACAAATAATGTACTTAATTACATGAATTGTTTTTCCTCCCTGTGATCTCAAGACTCAAAAGAGAATGTTAAAAACAGAATAAAACAAAGACATATTGCGATGGGAAAGTCTGCTGTTAGGGACCTCTCTAAAGTACTGAAGAGCAACGGTGTGTCTCTGGAGACTAAGGTGCATCTGATACAGGCCACGGTCTTTGCTATCACTTGTTATGCGTCAGAGAGCTGGACAATGACCAGGGAGAACAGAAGGAGAATTGATGCCTTTGAGCTTTGGTGTTGGAGAAGAGAATTGAGGGTACCATGGACTGCTAGGAAAACAAACAGATTCATCCTGGAGAGGATTAAACCGGCTGCTCACTGGAGGCAAGGATTCTGAAGCTTCGTCTGACATACTTTGGTCATGTTATAAGGAGAGACCTGTCCTTGGAGAAGGACATCATGCTTGGGAGGGTGGAGGGACAGCGCAGGAGGGGAAGGCCCTCTATGAGGTGGATTGATTCAGTGACTGGGGTAATCGGGATGAGTTTGTCGGAGACAATGAGACATGCACAGGACAGAACAGAGTTTAGGGCTGCTGTACATAGGGTCGCTATGAGTTGCAAGCGACTCAACGGCACATAACAACAACAACAACAACTATGGGCTTTGATTGGAAGCAGGAGTGGCATCGACTTCCTAAACAACATACCTCTGAAAATCTGAACTTTGATAACTGACAATAGTTATAGAAAGACTTCAGGCCTTTTGTTTATAGGGTCACTATGAGTTGTGTTCGACTCGACGGCAATCAACAACATGGACTATGTTGGCGATAGCGATAATTGTCACATAACTGACCAAAGCCTCAGTAGACTTCAAACAGGCAGCAATGTGTAGTCCTCACAGGCTCACTGGATGTGGCCCCCCAGACCCACTCTGGATCCCCCCTCTCAGCCACAGTCAGAAGCTCCTGGCCCCAGCCTGATGTCAGCAGAGGACCACTCAGACTCACCGTCGGCCACGGCAGACACCTCGTCCTGCAGCGCTAGGATCAGCTTAGCCTCGCGGGTCAGGTACTGGCAGCGTCGCTCCTCGTGCTGAAGCACCACAGCTATCCGCCGGGACAGAGTGTGCAGGCAGCTGATGACTGATGGGTCTGCGTTGGCCTGTGGGGGTGCATGATTGAGCACGCTCACTCTCGTGTCAGGGAGCACAGGGAGGCAGGTAGTACACTCATGGGTAGAGCTGAGCTCTACAAGAGCCCATGCAGCAGAACCTCACTTTCTCCCCAGTGGCCATGAGGGGCACTTTTCTGCATTGCCAGAGATGGTCCTCAGACATGATGGCAGGACCTGGCCCCTGGAGTCCAATGGCATTGAGGGAAGGTAGTGGGACTGGCTATACCTAATCCTATTGTGTAATTCACTGCCAGGACAGTGGTGCAGCACTTCATGGGATCCAGAGGGAATGCCACAGGGCAGCGTCACTGTGCTAGGATACATGGGAAGGCATGGGAAGACTTCCACTGGGGCCCTGGACAGGTTGTCCAGAGAAGTGCTGAGGGCACAGACCTGTCCACAACCCCACAATGTCATTCTGGGTCCCAGAATCCTCGTTTGATAAAAAGGAATGGCTACTGTAAGGTGGAATCTGGTTAAATGTGTACAGTGCTCAGAGCAGTAATGTCAGGCTATGTCTGGACGTGCTCTGGCCAAACAGTGGCTATGCTGTGACTGTCCCTAGCTATGCTATAGCTGTCTTACAGCTGTGTCATGGCCAAGCCTGGACGTGCTGTGACCTTGCCTGGCTTTGCCTGGCTGTGCTGTGGCCATACCTGGCCATACTGCTGTGACCCCACTGACCATACTATAGCCATGTGTAGCAGTGCAGTCACACTTGGTCATGCTGGTCTACAAGATGTGGAATTGAACCAACAGGCCACATCCAGCAGGACACACTGTTCCAGCTGACCCCTGGAACACTTGCCCCTTGAGGCTGGGACACAAGAATGACAGGCTGAGGCTCACGTCCCTGTCCCACGAGCTGAGTGCTTGGAGGAAGTATGTGGATTCTGCCCTTAGCCTCTGAGGACTATCAGGGGCTGGGCAGGTCTGGGAAGGTGCTGCCGATACAGATAGTGGGCAACCATGACTTAGCGTTTCAGAAGTCAACAGGACTGATGAATCATTCTTTGGGGGTGGGGGGTGGAGGAGGCAGAGGACGGGTGGTTTCACTGATTGGGGCCTTGGGTGCTGCCTCCTCTGCTTATCCAGCGAGCAGGCCTGGCCTTAACCTGAGCTCAGCCCACACATCTCCCACCTTGACAGCATCCCACTTGCTAGCTGTGAAGGGGATGAGTGTGCTCCTACCCTAGGCAATGGCCTCACAGCTGCATGCAGGAGGTCCCCTCAGCAGCCTCTCTACTAAAGGTCATGCATTGGGGGTCTGGCTGAGCTAGGTGCATACAATCATCTCAAGACAAAATATGCAGGAGAGAGATCCTGGGTAGAAAAGCTCTCCCCAGAGAACAGGGTAGAAGGTCCCGGTCAACCAGAAGAGCAGGTACCACCACCTGCTTGTGCATAAACACAGTGAGTGCCCAAGGACAGCAGCCCTTTGAGTCTGGGATCACAAGCCTCACCAGACACCACAGAGCAGGGAGCTGCCAACATCCCTCAGGCAGAGAGTAGGTCTGAGTGGATGAGGCTGCTCAAGGCTGGCTGGGAGGACAGCCCCACGCTGGGTGGACTGGGCCCACTGCAGTCAGACGGGCTGAGGCGAAGTGTTTTGGGAGCTGGGAGCTAATAGCTTATGCCTGTGTCAAATGTGAATTGGGCAGTGACACAAAAAAAGTCCTTATTTCACAGCTCCTAGGTCTGCAGGAGGGAGCTCTGGTGGCCAAATGGTAAGGAGCTGCATTGCCAATCCAAAGGCACATGGTTTGAATCCACCAGCTGCTCTGTGTGAGAAAGACGGGTAATCTCCTCCCTTGCAAATAACTGCCTCTGAAAACCCACAATAGGGTCAGCTATGAGTTGGTTCTTACTTGACAGTACGTAACAAGGTCTGAAGGAGTTGGGTGGACACAGGTCTGGGTTTGCCTGAGCAGTAACAGGTGAGAAAGGGCCTTGGGGACCGTGCACTCCACAGGGGTATACACACTTTATGAATATTGAGAAGGCCGAACCATCTCATCTTCCCTGAGATGACTGGTATCATTATGCGTGTCCTACCCCGCCAGGCACAGGCTATCCTGGTGAAGTGACTGGTCTAAGGGTCCATCCTTCTCTGCCTCCCCCACCCCCCACAGCCTCTGCATCAACCACTCACCCTCAGTGCGAACACCACATTAAAAAGGATCATGGTGGGTGTCTCTCTCTTTGGCGATGGGTCTGTTTTGGACACCTGTAAGAGACATAATTCCACACATTAAAGCCACGGCTTCCAAGAGGAGCTATTTAGAGGTTTGTACTCAAGGCCCAGGGAAGTATCTGAAGCTGGAGCAGAGGAAAGAGAGCCCCTGAGAGCCAGGGCTGCACGCACAGGCAAAGTCAGGCATCCGTTATGGCCAGTGCAAGGCCCCAGGGAGATGTGACTAGCCCCAGAGGGGCTGAAATGGATGGAGTGCTCTCTGTTCATCCCCACTGTCCTGTGTCCACCTGTGTCCTCAACACCCGGAGACGGTGGTGGCAGTCAGCCTCTGAGAACCAGCCTTTCTCTTGGCCTGCTCCAGCCTCTCCTGTCTTTTCCATGAGCTCACACCTGTGTCACCACCAGACAGCACTGGCACTCTAGGGCCCAGAGGGGGCCAAAGGCCACTCCTGCAGCTATAGGCAGGCAGCCAATTTCTCCCCTTTCCCCTCAGGAGACAAGCCATATCTGTGAGGGTTGCAGAGGCTGGAACAGGACCTCCCTCACAGGGTCACAAAGAACAGGAGCGAGAGCTAGATCCAGTGCCTCACAGATGTCTCTGCATTTCTAACTCCCTCAATAGTGGGAGGCACAAGCTACACAATTCTTGGATTTTGCAAATGGAGCAAAACAATTTCACACGGAAAACCACTGCTGGGTCCTGTAACCTAGACTCTGGTGACAACGGGTAAATGTCCTCTGGGGCACACAGAGGAGTCTGGTCTGCACATCGCATAGACACTGCAGGGTGTGGCAGACAGGCCTCACTCCCTCTCTTAGCTGCTCTGGAAGCAGAGGTTAAAAACTGCCCTTTAGGAAGGTCAGTCAGTAGAGAATGGGAATATGAACAGCTACAAATGCTTAGGGCAGAAACTGCAGCACCCAGAAGCGAGGCGCCCTTTCTCCTTCTCCCTGTACCCCCAGAGTCTGAAAGGATTCACAGCATAAGGCTATAGCTACAAAGACCAGTCCCCGGAGCTGTCCCTGCCCAGAGAGAACTACACCTGCCTGGATGGGTCGTACCTGCCCCAGAGCGTGCTGCAGAAGTGTCGGATGCCCAACAAAACGTACGTTGTCAATCTTCAGTTCAAACTTCTGGCCACACATTTCAGACTTGGTTGCCAAAATAGTTGCTAGAATAACATCTGAAAATCTTAAAATTGGGGAGGAAGGTTGAGAGGAAGGTTAATACACAAGTGGCTACCCATGCCCATGCCCAGAAGGCTTCAATAAAGGGCTGCTGTGTCCCCTGCAGATCAGAAGATCTATCAGTCATCCCTGAGCCGATTCCCGCGATCAGGGTCAAATTACCAGAATTACAATGGGAAGCGCAAGCAGAAGGGCCACATGCGGGCATCCTTAAGTGCTCTAGGGGTTCAAGAGGGAAACAAGTGGGGGGCTGGATCAAGACCTGGCCTTCTCTTGGGATAAGATGGGGCCTCACTCAGCATGGGGCATGTTCTGAGGGCAGCCTCACAACCTGGCCTCTTTAGACCTTTCCTCAAGGCCAATGCTCAGACTTTCTAATTTCTGTGAAGAGGGCAACTGTTAAAGGTGCACAACCTCCAGACTCACCACTGTCATAGCTATCTTTAAATGAATTGGCAGCACATGATAAATGAAGAAGAGATTGAGGTCGTTGACGATTTCAGCTTGCTCAGATCCACAATCAATACTCTGGCACTAGCAGTCAACAAATCAAAAGACAAACTGCTCTGGGGAAAGCTGCTTTCAGGGGCCTCTCCAAAGTGCTAAAGAGCAATGATGTCAGTCTAGAGACTAAGGTGTACCTGATTCAGGCCATGGTCTTCACAATTACTTGCTATGCATCAGACAACAGGACAATGACCAGAGTTAACAGAAGAATGGATGCCTTAGGGAGCTCTGGTGGCCTAGTGGCAAGAAGCTGCACTGCAATCCCAGAGGTGTGTGGTTCTAATCCACCAGATGCTCTGCTGGAGAAGGAGGAACAGTTTCCTCCTGTACCAGTCAGATCTGATTTGACGGTGCACACACAAAATAATAATAAAATAAAATTTTTTTAAAAAAATGATGCCTTTGGCAAGCTCTGGTGGCCTAGTGGCAAGAAGGTGTACTGCAATCCCAGAAGTGCAAGGTTCAAATCCACCAGATGTTCTGCTGGAGAAGGAGAAACAGTCTCCTCCTGTACCAGTCAGATCTTATTTGACGGTACACACACACACAAAATAATAAAATTTTTTAAAAAAATAAATAAATTTAAAAAAAGATGCCTTTAAGTTGTGGTGCTGGAGAAGAGTGTTGAACATACTATGGATTGCCAGCAGAACAAACAGGTTTATCCTGGAGAGGGTGAAACCAGTCTACTCCTTGGAGGCAAGGATTTTAAAGCTCTGTCTCACATACTTTGGGCATGTGGCCAGGAGAGACCAGTCCCTGGCAAGGGACATTATGCTTTGAAGGGTGGAGGGAAAGCGCAAGAGAGGAAGACCCCAGATGAGATGGTCTGACACAGTAACTGGGGTAACGGTGACAGCTGGAGACAGTGAAACTGGCTCATGATATGGCAACGTTCAGGGTTATTATGCACAGCATCACCGTGAGCCACAGGTGACTCTATAGCACATAACAACAACAACACTGGCACAAGGAAAAACATAACTTGGCACCACAGAGAAGGGGAAATGGTTGTAGTGTGGAGTGTGGACAGTCTGTGGAGCCCAGCGCACCAGACCTAGTCAAGGTGTGCCTGTGAAGGTTCACCTCCCACCTGAGAGAGGCGTGGATGGGTGCCGACCACAGCACAGGCCAGAGATGGGAAGACCGAGGGCCTGTCTCTCCTCCCACAGACCGCATTTCTAACACGCTGGCCGGAAAACCACTCTAAAGGACCACCTACCACCCTCAGACAGAAGACCCCACAGTTTCTAAACCAGACACTGGAGGACGCTCCTGGAAGACCCCACTGCTGGGGAGGGGATCTAGCAATGTGCTAATACCAGAGACTTCTACTTCATGACAATGGGGCTCCATTTCACCTCAAACGGTTATGGCAAGTGAAGTGGAAGAGAAGGGTTTAGAAAGCCCTCATCAATTGGAAAAGCGACCTCCTGGACCCAAAGGGAGGCTCAGCACTGCCAAGACCTGGGGCTGTGATGGTCCTGGGGTGGGGGTGGGGCCTCTGCTAGGATTCTTGGGTCCTCCAACTATCTGGGTGTTCATGGCAGCCCCAGAAGACACCAACTACCAGAAGACACTGGGCCTCTAATGGTGTGGTGGCAATGGGAGCACGGCCAGGTGCTCTACCCTGCCTCTTGGGTCACTGGCATCACTGCAGTGATGAAACCACCGTCTAAGACCAGTCACACAAACTTCAAACGCCTTCGAGAAAATTCCTCTAGGTGGCTCCCTCTTGCCAGGGCAGGGGAGGGAATGTAGGGTGTTGAAGCATTCTGCCCTGTAAACTAACCCAGTGACAGCACTCCACCCCACTGCCCAGAGACTTGGAGGACAGAGATAACAGAGAAGGCACCCCACCCATTCCAGAAAGCTCATGCTTCTGTGATAGCCAAAACTCTCCACCAAACTGTGGATGCAAAGATGAGGGACAGTGAAGCCCCACCCTCAGCCACCATCCAGCCTGGTGGTGTCAGAGTGTGGGACAAGATCTGAGCTCCTTAGAGACAAGCAGGAGTGGCCAGTTAGAAAAACCCACTTTCAAGTGTCCTGCCATAAACAAGGACGTGATCTACCCTGGGGCGACGGGACAGGGGAAAAGCGTGGCCTCTGGTGTCTGCATTAAGAGCAGATACACAGCCACGAGCTTTAGGAAGAATTCAGCACCCATGAGACAGGTTCAGGGACTGGGCAGCCAGAGCAGGGTGGTTGGGGCTGTTCCTTGGCTAAGCAAGGTCAGCTCTCCAGAAAAATCCACATCACTGCTTCATAGCTGACAAAATAGGACCTAAAAATGCTTGAAGTTTTGTATTCTGTACATGGCATCTGTGACAGAACACCAAGCAAAATGCAAAGCTATGTCACAGGGTAAAGGTACAACAGTTCTCCACAGACAAGTGACAGCAGTGGTGGGAATGCTTCCAAAATGTCACTGTAACTTTCCTGCAAACATATCACGACACAATAAATTTGCTGGTGTGAGAACTAAAGATCCCTGCAACAACTGGGAAATTCAAGAAAACTACTCAGGAAAAGCCCAGTTGCTGATCAGCCAAGCCTCCCCCTTCCTGCTGAGACTCCAGAGCCTGCTTCCCAAGGCAGCCTGGGGACCCTCCACCTGGCCCCGTGTTGGGGTACCCAAGAAACCATCTGCACAGCAACTCAGTCACCTCCAATTTCCAGAGAAAGAGCACCTGTCAGAGGAGGCACCCAGGGCGGGTGACATGGGGATGGATGGATGGGGGTGTCCCATCTCATTCTCAACTTCCCAACAAACGCCAAGGAGAATGCCTTGTGAGGTTCTATGGGCCTCTGAGAAATGGGTGGAGAGGGCTGGGGAGCGAAGGCCTGGTATTGCATGCCTGTCCTTCGGGCTGCTGCCAACTTGGCCTCTTGGGAGGAGGCACATAAACTTTTAATATCAATTTCATATTCTTCACACTATAGATTTGCTGTATAACGCAGGGCATGGAGAGAGTAGAGAGCCAGGGGCTGGTGGTGAGGTCCAAGCCAGAGCTGTGTGCTTCAATAGTTCATTTGCTGACATTGAAGAGATCAGGGATTAAGCACAATTAAGGGATGAGAAGGAAGAAAAATCAAGACAGAAAGACAGTGGGAGATCTTGGTCTTACCCTGCAACCAATTTCCCATCAGTTAGAGGACATGGCTCGCTGGAATGGGAACATGAGCATCAAGATGAAGCAGAAACACATTGCTTTTAAAAAGGGTTAACAGGTTACAAGGTGTTTCATGATAGGGCATTAAGTCTGGTGGAAGCATCATCACTGAGCAGAAGAGCTGACCCTCACGCCGAGTGACTTGCCAGGCACCAACGAGGGTGTAAAGACTTCTCCTACCTTGAGCACTTACCAGGTGGTTTTCTTGGCAGAGCTCTGCTTCACACACACACAAAGGCTGGCGGGAATGGTAGTCACTTTTCAGCACTGAGTGTAGCTGGAAGGCTGAGTTCAACACCCAGCTCCGCATGTATTAGCTGGACACATGTATCTGATCCTTCCAAGGCAGGTTTATCATCATCATCCCTCTGATCACCGTACAGTACCATATAAACACCACCAGCCCTGGAACCTGTGTCTGCTTGAGCCCCATCAGAACCTCTGCACAGCTCCACTGGACAGAGTCAAGCAGAGCTGTACATGTGAGCGGACAGGGCAGAACCGGGAAGTGTCAGAGGTCATGAGCTGCCCACTGCACCCTAACCAGGACTAGCTCACACAGAGACACACACAAGGCAGACACTTGGCTCTATGTCCTACAACTGCTGTTGCTGTGTAGCCAAGAACCCACCCACAGTTGACCCTTCTGGGGGTTTTCAGAGGCAATTAATCTGCATGGGAGGATATTGTCTATCCTCCCACGGGGCAGCTAGTGGATTCAAACCATGTGCCTTTGGGATTACAGCACGGCTTTTTACCACTAGGCTACTAGAGCTCCTATAAGCAGACATGTCAAAGTGAAACTCCAACTACCTGAGAGGGACACTGGGTGGAATCTGGTAGGAGTACACTGGGCTTCCAAGTGCTGGGGTGAGCCCTATAAGAGAGGCTGTCACAAGGTGTTCCACAACCTGCGGCATTTACCCACCAAGGTATCGACCTACCAAAGGGACATGATCCTAAGACCACCCATTGTTGGAGACAGCCGAGATCAGGCCCAGACTGGATGGAACCCTGAGCAGCTCATGCTGTTCTAACCAGCCAAGCATGAGGGCAGAGACTGGGGGGTGGAAGAAGTCTAAGGCATGGGGAGATGCTGTGTGTCCATGCGCAATATGATGACCCGGGCCCAGAAAGTAAACCTCTATGCTAGGAGTGGACTGCCCTGAGGACCTGGAGGAGCCCAGGTGAAACTCCACATCCCGCCTAGGGTCCAACGGTACCCTCTGCCCTCAAGCTGGACCACGGCTCCAAGAGAGACTGAGCTTCCCCCGGTGCTTCATACAGGAAGCTCTAGGCTGCGGGTAGAAACAGTTTCAGCTCGGAAAGTCTGTTAGTGGTAAAGCAGTTAAAGCAGCATGAGTTCCAAGCATGTGACACAAAAAGAAGTCAAGGGTTCTTTAAGCTACCAGCACACCTTCTCCGAGACAATGGTCCAATACAACTGAGTACCTGGAGGAGGAGGGCGAAAGACAGCTCAGTGATGGAGGGGGTGTGCTCACAGCAGGACGGGACATGCTAATGCCAGCCCTCCTCAGAGACACCAGGCTTCCTCTCCTACTTCTCCTGATGGCCTCTCTGTCCCTTCCAGCATGGGGGACCCATGGCACAATCACAGAGCCCCTACCAATCAATCAACAGGAACACCACACTTTTCTGAACTTGAACATCAAGTCTTAGAGACAAGCACCATCGCCACCACTCCTGACTGAATCCTAAAGGCAGGGGGGAGGTGAAGAGTGACAGTTCCTGTACTCTGAAACACACCCTGGCCATTCACTTTATTAAACGGACACACTCTCTAATTCAGTGCCATCCAACAGAACTTTCCAAAGTGGTGTAAGTGTTCTGATCAGTGCCAGCCAGTCCATAACCATTTGTGGCTCCCCTGTAGCTAGCTGGCTGAGGAGCAGGTATATTTTCCTTCCCTTATTAATTTTAGGTGACCACACTGGGAGCTCTAGACAGCACAGCACTATGGGTTTACAGCTCTGAGGAAGGTCTCTGAAATCACTGAGAGGACGACCAGCATTGTTGTGTTCTGGCAGAAGGCGATATTCTGTGGATCCAAAGGAAAACAGCCTTGCGAGTGATAAGGAAACCCCAGAAAATGACTTCATGCACCTCCACTGTACTGGTCATGCCAGGCAACAGCCCCATAAATAGCATATACATTCTGAAAAGCATAAACATTCTGGAGGAGGAGAGAATGCTTAAAAAAATAATTTTAAAGTATACAGCTATGGCTGGCACACTGCCTGTGGGGAACAGGGGAGCAACGGGGGAGCATGTTAACAGCAAAGGCCCCAGCCAGAGTCTGAGCTCCTTTCTCCCTGAGACAGCAGAGGCTGAGTCCTTTACCCCACGTGGGGACCCAGGACAAGCCATCAGTATCTTGCTGCTTCACCTGGACTTGTGTGACAACCTACTAAGCTTTAAGATGAACACAAAAAGGCAGAAGAGGCCCTTTCCAATCTTCCCAACCTGATAACTTTCCCCAGACACATCAGATATCCTAAATCCAAGAAAAAGTAAGACCTTCCTTTCATCTGTGCCTTCAAAGACCGGCAAGGCTTAAACTAGCCCTGGGCCTCAGCTCCATGGGCCACAGCAGCTGAGCCTGGCCAGGCTGTGTGCACACAAGCCCCAGAGTCAGCCTCGGAGTCAATTCCAGGACACCTGCATGAGGCACAGTGTCTGAGGACAACATTGCAGTCAGCTTCACTCCATGTCCTCAGAGGGCATTAAATGCTCCGCATGACACCAGCCACAGCTGGACCATGTGCAGTCAGGCAGTGAGGCAGAGGCCAGTCATGTGACCCTCCCGCGCAATGCTACCTGAAAGTATCGAATGAATGCTTGGAAAAATAACACCGGCTTTTTAGGAACCAAAGCATCAGATGGAGAAGATGGGGGCCTTTGCCAAGGGTTGGGGGCAGGAGTGCCCCAATTCTGAGTCAGCAGAACCCTTACCTGGAATCCCCATCCTGATCCTCAGAGTGGTCACCAGCGCTATTAACAGCATATCTACTGCGCGGCTTACCTGAGTGAGAGGTAAAGAAAAGACCAGGTAAGAGAACGATTCATCCACATGCTAGACCCCCTGAAAGGGATGGCTTCCCAGAGGTTATGGTGACATGTTTTTGCTACTTTGTTAAACTTTATAAAACAGGATTGCATGTATTTGCTGGTGGGTTTTGCTTTGTTTCCCCCTCCCCCCAACCTTGTTAGATATTTAACACCCCAGTCTGGAGCTGCTGCATCCTGGAAAATCACGAGTCATGATGACTCATCATCTTTGGGACACTGTGGAAGCTATATGCAACCCAAGTCGGAAAACCTACATTTCAACTAGAAAGTCTATCATTTAATTGAGAGGATGATATTTCAAAGAAAGCATAGAAAGTCTTCAAGAAAAATTTTTCTTTTTTTATTATTCTTTGATTCTTATATCAAAATGACATAAACTGTGCCCCAAAAGAAAAGACTTTAAAAATAAAATAAAAATAGGACTCCATGTGGCCTGGTGTATACACACATACACAGACACACACCTTTTCAGTACAATGGCAGCTATGTTGGAGAAATCAACTAGGTTGGGCAAAAGAATGAAATTTGTTCATATATTAATAGTTTTCTCATATATAAAGGATAATTTACAAAGGTAATTTTAAAAAGTTTTAAAACTCTAAAAATGATCTTAAGAGCTCTAAAATGAAACAAATATTTTTTAAAAAAATGAACTGGGGCAGGAAGCTGTGACAGCCTAGTGGCAAAGAAGCTGCACTGCAATCCTGAAGGCGCACTGTTCGAAACCACCAGATGCTTTGCTGGAGAAGGAGGGTCAGTCTCCTCCTGTGCCAGCTGAATCCAGTTCAATGGTACACAACAAGAAAAATAAATTAATAACTTAAAAAAAATGAACTGGGGAAAGGAGAGGATGGAAAAATGTGCAATGATGAATGAGTGAATATCTAACTTTTCTGTTAACTTTCATTAAAATAATAATTAAAGGTAAAAAAATTATTTTAAAAAAGAACTTTAAAATGTTAACAAGGAAGACAGAAGCCTAGAAGGAATATCACATTCTTGAAAAGAAAGATTCTTGTCTTTCCCAGATAGTTAGTATGTGCAAAACTATCTGGAATAAAAATGTCAACACAGGGCAGGGTGGGGTGAGGGTGAAAATGCCAACAAGTTGGAGACTAAGACTGAAAGCATTGGAAAGTAAGCACAGCCAGCTAGGAGGGTGGTGAGAAACATGACTCTGAAAATAGGAAAACATATTCATACGCATTTCCTAAGTGAAAATACATACACATTCACAATATGACAAGAGAAGGGAAAGCAGGGACACAATAGAAACCTGAACGCTGATGCTCATTGGAGCACTTTTCACAATAGTCAAAGGATAGAAACAATCAACCCAAGATGAAGGAATAAATAAAATGTGCTGTGTATATATGTACACAATGGACCATTTAAAAACATTTTTTACATTGTTGCACATTTCCCCCCTCCCCCTCCCCCAGCCCACTCTATAATGCACCCCTTGTTCCAGATTGTTGTCCTACATAAAACGCCTAATCATATATTAGTTTTGGACAGTTCGTCCCCTCATCTGTTCTAATGCAGTGTTCATTATCTAGCCACTCTTTTCCCATTCTCTCCCCAACCTCCTCATGTCTGTCCTATTTTATAACAGCAGCATTGCGCAGTGTTTGTCCTTCTGTGGCCGAGATACTTCGCTCAGCATAATGTCCTCCAGGGTTTCCCCATGTTGTGTAGTGTTTTATGAGTTCATTTTTTTTTCAATGCTGTGTTAATACTCCATTGTGTGAATGTACCATAGGTTTATCCATTCGTTTGTTGATGGGCACCTGGGCTGCTTCCATCTCCTTGCTATTGTGAATAACATAGACGTAAACATGAGCATGCAGACATCTGTTTGAGCTATGGCTCTGGTTTCTTTAGGGTATACTCTCAATAGTGGAATTGTTGGGTCAAATTGTACTTCTATTTCCAACTTTTTGAGAAATGGCTGTACCATTTTACATTCCCACCAGCAGTAAGAGTTCCAATCTCTTCACAACCTCACCAGCATTTGCTGTTTACTATACAACGGAGCTAAAGAGAAATGACATTCAGACAATGCAACACCATGACAAACCTTGAAAACATTACACTGAATAAAGTCAGTCAGTTACAAAAGGATGAATATTAAATAGTCTCATTTAAATAAATCCACAGCCCTAAAAAAATGAAATCTGTATTAAACACCTATCAGTTTAAAAAAATAATAATAAATAAAATAAATAAATAAATCCACAGAAACCAAAGCTTATACATGATTAAAATTTTCAAAGGCAGGGAAGGGAGGAGGGAGAAAGAAAAGAGTTTTTAGTCTGGATAGCATTGATTTTGTGTTAAAAATGGTGGAAAATTTTTCGGGAAAAGGGAGCAATAATGGTGGTACAATATGAAAAATGTGTAATCAATGTTATTAAGCTGTAAATGTATATGGTATGTTACACAATTTTTGCTGTAAATATTTTCATCACAATAAGCCAAAAAACCCCAACATTTGTGATACATGTTTTTCACCTGACATTAGCAAAGATCAAAAAAGCTAATGCATTAAAAATTACTCATTATCTTTTAGGGGAGCTCTGGTGGCCTACTGGCAAGAAGCTGCACTGCAATCCCAGAGGTGCATGGTTCGAATCTACCAGATGCTCTGCCGAGAAAGGAGGGACAATCTCCTCCAGTACCAGTAAGATCTGATTTGATGGTACACAGACACACACACACACACACAAATAATAATAAAATAAAATAAGTTGATTAAAAAAAATTACTCATTATCTTTTGACACAGATGATAGAACCTTGCTGGCTGAAAGTGAGGACTTAAAACAGTGCAGAAAATCAAAGACTACGGCCTTCAATACGGATTATATCTCAACATTAGTGGACAACAATCCTCACCACTGGATCGATATGCAACATCATGATAGAGAAAAGACTGCACTGTCAACACTTCATCTTACCTGGAGCCACAATTAACATACTTGGTACCAGCAGTCAGGAGATGAGGAGACCTCCGACAAGTCTGCTGCCAGGGACCTCTCTAAATTTCTGTGATGATGTCAGTTTGCAGACTAAGGTGTGCCTGGTTCAGACCACAGTCTTTTCAATCACTTACTATGCATCTGACAGCTGGACAACGACTACAAATGACAGAATTTGGGAGCTCTGCTGGCCTAGTGGCAAAAAACTGCACTGCAATCCCAGAGAAACACGGTTCGAATCCACCAGACGCTCTGCCAGAGAAGGAGGCGCAATATCCTCCTGTACCAGTCAGATCTGATTTGACGGTACACGCACACAAAATAATAATAATAATAATAATAAAGACAGAATTTATGCCTTTGAATTTCAGTGTTGGAGAAGCATGCTGAATATCCCATGGCCAAACAGAGATGTCTTGGGAAAAGTGCAGCAAGAATGCTCCTTAGAGGCAAGGATGGTGAAACTTCTTATCACATATTTTGGGCATGTGGACAGAAGAGGCAATTCTTTGGAAAAGGACATCATGTTTAAAAAGGTGACAGTCAGTGAAAGAGAGAAAGACACTGGACAGGATGGACTGACAGATAAAATGACTGCAACAACGGGCTCAAAAGTGTCAGAAATGATGAGGATGGCAAAGGATAGAACAGGGTTCAGATCTGTTGTTCATAGAGTCATTCTCAGCTGCATTGCACCTAACAACATTATCTTTTAGACCCAACCCTCTCACTTCTGAAAACTGGTTCAACAGATAATCTGCAAAATAACACACTAACAGCAAGGAGTAGTTTGTATTTATAAAAGAGATTGGCAACAACTTAAACAATCACCAACTAAGAATTGGAAGAAGAAAAAACAGCACAGTCATCTCATGGAATTTACTCATTGAAAAGCATGAGGCTGTACATTTTAATTTTATATTCAACATGTAAAGTGTGAACAAAATAACAGGAAGAAAAACTACAGGAGTCAAACATATGTATAAGTGTGCTACCACTTAGGTCAAGAAAACCCCAATATGTGTTCATATTTGCATAGAAGGTTCTGAAAAAAATGCATGTGAAAATTTTAACGAGGAATTTTGTTGCTGGGCAGAGGCAGGACATCAAATATAGAAAAGAACTTTTTATAATCTAAACTCCTCTGTACCCTTAAAAATATTGTACTATTTTAGCATGTTTAAAGAAGGTCAATGTGAAACAACTCTAAAACTAAAACGTAGGGGAGCTCTGGTGGCCTAGTGGCAAGAAGATGCACTGAAATCCCAGAGGTGCAAGGTTCAAATCCTCCTGCACCGGTCAGATCTGCTTTGCCGGTACATGCATACAAAATAACAATAATAGGGAGCTCTGGTGTCCTAGTGGCAAGGAGCTGCAACTACAATCCCAGAGGCACACGGTTCGAATCCACCAGATGCTCTGCCGGGAAAAGGAGGGACAATCTCCTCCTGTACCAGTCAGATCTGATTTGACGGTACACTCACGCAAAAAAAAAAAAAGGAAAAAAAAGACAAAATAACAATAATAAATTAATAAATAAAATAAAAGGTAAATGTAAAATAACTTTAAATTTAAAATCAAGAGGAGGTGAATGTAAAACAATTTTAAATTAAAAAATCAAAAGTTCTCCAAATGTCCTGAATGGTACAGGGAGAGTATGCAGTGGTATGAGACTAAGGTTGACCTACACTATATTAAACTAGAAGGGACTGATGCAAGGCAGACTGAAGGGAAAAAGGGAAGCTGCAGACTCGCATCTCAGGGGAAAATCTTGTATTTTAAGGGAGCTCTAGTGATGTAGTGAGTTGCATTGATAATTCAAAAATTCCTAGTTTACTATGGACGGATATGTATTTGTATGTATCTACAGGAGTAGTAAATAACAAAAGGTCTGTCTCTGGAGAAAGAGCCTAACTGGAGGAAGGAAGTCAGAAAGAACTTCAGATGTGGGGGTAACTGTTACGTCTGGGCAAAGGGGGCCAAACAGAAGAATGAAGAATTCAGAACTCAAATGCTGATGGCCTTATCTGCTGCTAAGAAGGGCAAATGGCCTTGCTTGTCTGGCTGAGCTAGCAGGTGGCTCTTAAATCAGAGTGGAATGTCCCTCCCTAAAGACTGTTTATAAAAATACTCCCCAGTAAATTCACAGTGTGACTTCCCATTCTGCCTCTCCAGGATGAGGAACTCACCCGGGAGCTCCCCTTCCCCCGTTTAATAAGGCTACATTAAGCTTTCTCTCATTCTCTCTGATTTCTTCTTTAAGTCCACTAACCTAACAGTAACTTTACATTTTCTCCCAAGATGAATAGATACATATAAAATTTACATATTAAAAAATTTAACTCATTTAAACTGGAAAATGGATCAAATGTTAGTAATAATTGTTTAGACACAGCGAGTTGAGTGGGAGGGGTTTGGTATGAGGTGGTTTTTTCATGATAGATGAGCAAGACACCGCGGCGCACAGACCTGAAGCGAGGGGCCACAGGGAGGAAACGCGCCGCTCGCGGGTCACCACGCGCATGCGCAGCAGCGCCTGCTCCCCAGCGCCCACTTACTTGTCTGGGACGCGGGGTGCTCCTGGCTTCGCTGGAAGGGATATCTGAACAGCAGCTTATTGCCCCGGCTCCCGGAGCTCACCAGAATCACGCTGATGGGGCTGGTGTTGTCACCCATGCTGCCAGGAGTGGGGGGGTAAGGGGAGGTGTCAGGGAACACGTGAGTGAGGGGATGTCCAGAGAAGGGACCGGGATACAGGGACCTCGGGGGCGGGGAAGTCCGAGGACAGAGGCCTGCCTGGGACGGGCAGAAGACAGCAGGCAAGAAATCTGGGAAGCTAGACTGACATAACCCCGAGACCGCCGACACCCTGGCGCGCTCCTGCGCACGCGCCGTGCCTACGCTCCTGCTCGCGATACTTGCAATGACAGGAGCTCTGACTTCGCTCAGAAGAGCCTCGGCGCGGCAGTGCGCAGGCGTCTTTTGCGCGCACCTTCTCGCTCACAGGGCTCAGAACCTCTGTGGTTACCCATGGAAAACGTCTCTGTAGGTTCAACACAGCTTTTCTTACTGTTTTCTTCATTATAAAAGTAGTACTTGCTTTGGGCAGAAAGTTCACATAAAAGTCAGAAAAAACCCACCCCAAACCACTAAGTATTTAAAAGACTTAAATATAGCAGCCAAAACTCTAAGAAGAGAAGATAAATTAATCAAGGAAACATGCAGAAACTTACCACTGATTGGTGATTACCAGGGATGAAGATGAATCACTTCACAGATAGGTGTTGTGCACTGTTGAGGAGGAACCAACCCATCCTAGCTGACACTCCAGCGGATTCTCAGAGGGTCAACTATATGTTGGATTTTCAGAGGCAGTAAATCTCATGAGAGGAAATAATGGCCCATTCTTAAGCAGATGAGGTGGTGGATTCGAACCGCGTGTCTTTGACTTGGCAGCACAATTCCTTGTCACCAATCTGGCACCATGATGGATGGAGAAGAGATTGAAGTTGTTAACAGTTACAGCTTGTCGGCTCCACAATCAACACTTTTGGCACCAGCAGTCAGGAAATCAAAAGGCGAATTGCATTAGGTAAAACTACTGTCAGGAACCTTTCCAGAGTACTGAGAAGCAACGATGTAAATCTAGAGACTAAGTTGAGCCTGATCCAGTCCATGGTCTTCGCAATTACTTGCTATGCGTTAGAGAGCTGGATAATGATTAAGGATAGCAGAAGAATTGAAGCCTTTGAGCTGTGGTGCTGGAGAAGAGTCTTGAACATACCATGGACTGCCAAGAAAATAAATAGGTCTGTCTTTGAGAGGATGAAACCAAGTTTCTCCTTGGAGGCTAGGATTTTGAAGCTCCGTCACATACTTTGGGCGTGTGGCCAGGAGAAACTGATCCTTGGAGAAGGACATCATGCTCAGAAGGATAGAGGGACCACTCAGGAGACGACTCCAGAGGAGATGGATTGATACAATAACTACTAGGGCAATGGGGATAGGTGTATCGGAGTCATTCTGTCAATATTATGTTCCAGCCATTTTTAAAAATATCTTCAACTCCTGTACCAGTCAGATCTGATTTCATGGTATACGTAAAAATAATATAATAAACATTTTTTAAAAAAGAAAAAAAATATCTTCAACAGATATTACTTATTGATAATATTGTTTGATAACAATTTCATATTCTGTTGGATTACCCTTTTGGGGAATGGGAACAGATATGGATCTCTTCCAGTCAGTTGGCCAGCGAGCTGTCCTCCAAATTTCTTGGTATAGACTAATGAAGTATTCAGGGCTGCATCTATTTGCTGAAACACCTCACATAGTATTCTGTCAATTTACAGAGCGAGCAGTTTAAATTCATCAACTTCTCTCAGGAGAAAGGTGGACAGTTTCCTCCCATGCATTTTACTGCCCCTGAAAACTCTCTGGAGGGTCAGGTCAGACTTGGTAGTAGATAACAATAACAATAAATTTTTGCCAGTGTTTCCAGTGCAGCTTGGACCTCTTCCTCCAGTATAACTGTTTCTTGATCATATACTACTTTCTGAAGGGGTTAAGTGTCAAGTAATTCTTTTTTTGTACAGTGACTCTGTGTACTCTATCTTCCTTTTATAGTTTTTGCTATTAGGTACTGTCGAGTCGAGTACAACCCACAGCGGCCCTATGAACAACAAATCAGAATCCTGTCCTACAATGTATCCTGACACATTAGAGCCCATTGTGGCAGCCACTGTGTGAGTCCACATCACTGAAAGTCTTTCTTTGATTTATGACCCATTTCCACCTCTCCAAGCATCCTGTCCCCTTCTAAGGAATAGCCCCTTCTAGCTGCATGTCTGAAGTATGTGAGGTGAAGCCTTGTCATCTTTGCCTTCAAAGAGCACTCTGGCTGCACCCTTTCCAAGACATATTAGTTTGTTCTTTTGACAGTTCATGGGATGTTCAGTGGTCTTCTCCAACACCACAGCTCAAAGGCTTCAATTCTTCTTCTGTCATCCTTATTCATGGTCCAGGTTTCAGATGCATAGCAAGTGATCAGAAAGACCATGGCCTGGATCAAGTGCACCTTAGTCCTTAAACTGACATCATTATTCCTCAATAACTTAGAGAGGTCCCTAATTTCAGACTTTCCCAGTGAATATGTCTCCTAATTTTCTGACTGCTGGTACCAAGGGCGTTAATTGTGCATCCAAGTAAGATGGAGTATCATGATTCTGATTATCAGTCCAGCAGTAAGAATCTTGGTTTTTTTGACATTGAGATGCAATCCATATTGAACACTGTATTCTTTGATCTTCTGCAACAAGTGCTTCCATTTTCAATATTCAATATTTTGCCTTCAGTATTGCAACTCAGTTCTTTAATTTTCCCTCTTATTTCTGTCAGCTTGAGAAATGTTGATTGCATTCTCTTTTGGTTTTCAAACTCCAGACCTTTGCACATTCCATTATAACACTTCACTTTGCCTTCTTGAGATGCCCTTTGGAACCTTCTGTTTAGCTCTCTTACTTAATCACTCTTCTCCATTATTTTGGTTTTGCTACATTGGAGAGGTCTCTTCTGACACCTATTTAGATATTTTCTTTCTTTCTTATATTTTTAATGATCTTTTACTTCTCCATAGATTGAACCCTTGATGTCACCACACAACTTGTCTAGTCTTTGGTTATTAGTGTTCATTATATAAAATCTAGTTTTGATGTAGTAGTAAAATTCAGATACGATAAATTTAAGGTAATATTTTGCCTCTCATAAACTTAGTTTCATTTACTTCAATTTCAATTTTAACATACATGTGAGTAATTGATCTTTCCTCAGTCAATCCCTAGTCTTGTTTTGACTTCTAATCTTGAGCTTCCCCATTGCCCTTCCATAGATGCAGTAAATCTGGTTCTAGTGTGTTCCATCAAATGAAAGCCGCATGTGTAATTGTTTTTCGACAAAGGTATTCTCAGTGAATACATCTTTGGTTGTACAAAATTATATCATATAGGGCGCTCTGGTGGCCTAGTGGAAAGAAGCTGGACTGCAGTCCCAGAGGTACCCGGTTCCAATCCACCAGATGCTCTGCTGGAGATGGAGGGTCAATCTCCTCTTGGACCAGTCAGATTTTATTTGATGGTACACACACAAAAAATAATAAAATTTTTAAAAAATCTTATCATCCAATCTTCTGCCTCATTTCTCTCACCAAAGCCATATTTTCCAAACACTAGGTTTTCTTCTTTATTTTCTTTTTTAACTATTTTATTGTGATTTTAACAAAAGTTTACAGAAAAGGTGGATTTTCTTTCATTTACTATTGCACATTTTCTCCCTACTTCTCCAGTTCACATTTAAAAAAAAAACTCATTCATTGTTTCATAATTTCCTCCTTCCCCACCCCCCGACCCCCGGCCTAGTTCACTTTGCTAAGCAACTCTTATTCTGGACTATTATTCAGATTATACCTACTCATATATTCCTTTTAAATATTTCTTTCATCTCTTCCAATGTAGTATTCATTATCTATCTCCTCTTTTTATAAGTTTTCCCCAACCTCTATGTCAGTCCTGTTTTACAGCAATGGTGTTATGCAGTATTTGTCCTTTTGTGACTGAGATATTTTACCCATGAAGGGTCATCCATGTTGTGTAATATTTTATGAGTTCCTTGTTTTTCAGTGCAGTGTAGTATTCCGCTGTGTGAACATGCCATATTTTTTCTTTCCATTCATTTCTGATAGGCATTTGAGTTGCTTCCATCTTTTTACTATTGTGAATAATGTAGCAATAAACATGGGTGTGTGTATATCTGTTTGAGTGGCAGCACTGGTTTCTTTAAATATTCCTTGTAATGGATACTAAGGTTCACCTGATCCGTGCCATGATCCTTGCAATTACTTGCTATGCATCATAGAGCTGGATAGTGATGAAGGATGACAGAAGAATTTATGCCTTGGAGTTGTGGTGCTGGATGGAGAAGAGTCTTGAACATACCATGGACTGCCAAGAAAACAAATAGATCTTGGAGAGGGTGAAGCCAGGTTTCTCCTTGGAGGCTAGGATTTTAAGGCTCCATCTCACATATTTATGGCATGTGGCCATAAGAAGGACATCATGCTCAGAAGGGTAAAGACACAGCCCAGGAGAGGAAGATCCTGGATGAGATGGATCGTTACAGTAATTAGGGCAATGGGGGTAAATGTGTTGGAATCAGTAAGACTTGCTCAGGACAGGGCAGACTCCAGTGGTGCTGTACATAGGATTGCTGAGTTTCAGGTGACTTGAAAGCGCATAACAACAACAACAGTAGTAGAACTGCTGTGTCAAATGGTATGTCTGTTACCAAGTTTTAAAAGTTTTTTTTATTATACTTATTTATTTCAGTATTTAACTTTTGTTGTTGTTGTTGTTGTTGTTATGTACCATCAAATTAGATCCAACTGGCACAGGAGGAAGTTGTCCCTCCTTCTCCATCAAGCTCCACACCACTTTCCACAGTGGTTGCACCATTTTACACTCCCGCTAACAGTGAGTAAGAGTCCCATTCTCTCCACAACTTTGCCAGTATTTGTTGTTTGCTGCTCTGTTGAATTTTGCTATTGTTACTGGAGTGACTGGTTATCTCCTAGTTGTTTTTATTTGCATCTCTCTGAGAGCTAGGGATTTTGAACATTTCATGTGTTTGATT